CCTGCTGTGAGAGTGAGCCCACAACCATCATCAGAGATGCTTCACCCAGCAACTGACATAAACAGATACAGAGACTCATAGCCCAACATTAGGCAGAACTTGGGGAATCCTACAAAAGAGGAGGACTGAAGGTGGCAGCGGGGCCAAGGACACCACAAAAAATCACCTACAGAATCCAATAATTTGGGCACATAGGGACCCACATAGATTGAACAACCAACCAGAGACCATGCATGTGACTGACCTAGGTAGGACCTCTGAAGAAATGTAACAGTTGTGTAGCTTGGTCTTCATGTGAGACTCCTAACAGTAGGGGCAGGGGCTGTCTCTGCCTGTTGTCTGCCTTTGGTACCATTTCCTCAAACTGGGCTGCCTTGCCTAGCCTCAATAGAGTAAGATGTGCCTAGTCTTCTGCAATGTGATATGCCATGGATGATTGATATCCAGCTAAGGCCTCCCTTTATCTGTAGAGAAAGGTGGGTAAAGTGGATGGGATAGGGGAGGAAGGCATGTTGAGGGGACTGGGAAGAGAGAGGGGAGGGGAACTGCCATCAGGAGGTAAAATAAATAAATACATTCATTAACTAAAATAAAACTATTAATTCTCACAATCTTTGCATATGTGTACATGTAATAAGTTGTTACTAGACAAAATGAAACAATATTTATTTATCATGGCATATTACTCATCTCTAAAACAATTACTTCTATTTTTCTTTTTATACACTTGTTCTCTTATAGCCTAGGCTATAACTTACCTTGCTGTATACCTTAGAATAAACTTGAATTTCTAGCACTCTTTCCTAGCTAGTCTCCTGGGTGTGGCCTAAAGAACTATATCAACATATCTAGCTTTATTGAAGAACTAGAGCCAACACCAAAGCTTCTTGCATATAAAACAGGTATTCTAACAACTGGATACATGTCCAACCCTCTTGGATATTTAATCCATTTTTGAATCCTGGAGCTCATTGTGTTTTTATACTTTGAACTCGACCTAGAGTATAATTGCTGCTGTGGAATGAAAAGAATACTGTTTCTGTCTAACTGCATCCCTTTTTTTCCATAATAAGATGGATGAATGAAAATTACTTCTGTCAAAGAAGTGTGAAAAGGTTAACTAGACATTGTACTACTGCACTATGGAAACTACACTTTAATTCAACTGGACAGTGGATTCGAAGCCTCCATAATTAGAATCATATATAAGTCTATAAATGCATGTTGGTAACCACCCCCTCCAAATTAGGTACCATTCAGAACATTTCAGATGCAGTCTGTGATTTGCAGTTAAATATCCAATATACTATTCTTAAGAAGTCAAATATACCTTGGTAGATCAGCACACTTATGTTTTTAAATAACCATATTTATTCTTATTTGACTATAATTAGGACAAAGCTCATAGCTCTGTATGTAAGATAATTTTAAAAGTTATCAATTATTTGTAGAATAATAAAACAACAACATAAAAGAAATATATTTCTAAGGCATATAACCCATCTTACCTAGATGCAATTGCCATTTACAATATTTACTTCTTATTTAGCCAAATCACTTAAACTATTTAGCTCTTTAAAATTGAACAATCTTTCCAAAACCTTGTTTTTATATACATAATTAGATGCCTTCAGTTTTTTCAAACATTATCACACACAAATGCAACTGTTTTCTGTGTAGTTCATATCTTTCAGAATTGTAGTCATCAAAATCAAACATGTGACTACACAAATATTTCAACATTAATGTCAGCCTCTTACTTAGTCAAATGTGGAAAAATAGGCCATAGCAGTGGGGGATTCCCGGAGGTTTTCCACACTGGGGGGTCCCACATAGAGGAGAAAAGTCTGGGGTTCTAAAGGCTGGAGGCTTTGGCGATGGCAAACTCCAATGATAAGAGAATGTCCATAGTTCCAAAAGAGTTTATTTTCATAGTGGATGGTGGATGGATCTGGATGCCCCCACCCCCACCCCCCCCACCCGTGAAACTCAGGGCAGACCTGAGTTAAATAGGGAGGGAGAAAGGGGGAGGGTCTAGAGAAGAAAGCTTAATTTGCTCTGCCCTCTGGCCTTCATTAGTATGTAAATCCCTAGGGCCTGAGGCCTGTAGTCATGCCCTCTATCTGTGCACTTTGGGAGGGGCTGTAATGGCCTATGTGACTGAACAATGTAGTTCTATGGAGACTAGACTGCTTTTCAGGACCCTGGGTTCTAGGGATGTGGCCGAACACCTGCTGTTCCTCTCTTGGAGTCTCAGGGTTCCAGGCCCATGCCCAACCATGAACCAAGGTACCTTTATGCAGTCCCACAGTCAAATACTTGAAATATGTCCACAATGCCTAGAATTTCTTCCATGTATTTTATTACATAGTTCTTTGAGTCACACTTTAGAGCATGCAATACATTAATGTAAATAAACTTCAAAATAAACACAGGTATTCTAAGGAATCAACTCTTAACATTAATAAATTAACCATTTCTATAAATATCCAGAAATATCAAAGCACTATTCAAATAAGATATTTCGTCTGAATGATAGTGTTTTACGTCAGTGTAACAAAAGATAATCAGTTGCATGAATCATAATACTGCAATGAATTTAGTGGCTAAAACATACTTATATGTGACATAATTTCATTTAAAACTTTTAGTTATTATTTTTGAAGTACTGATCTTAAATGTGGAAATGAATATGAAGAAAAATTTAAAGCTTGTTTTTATAGAGAGAAAAATAAGTTAACAAGCTCATTTTATAGGGGAACAGGCGAGAGGCCCAGAGGGCCAGGATGATGAATGGAAATATGTAGCCTTTGGGTGTGAAAAGTGGAGATACTCTCTAGAAATTACCAGAGATCTGAAAGGTGAGAGACTCTCAGGACTCAATGGGGGTAACCTTAGCCAAAATTCTCAATAGTGAGGAGAGAGAAACTAAATTGTCCACCTCCAATAGAGAGACAGGGACTCATATGGGAGGATGGAGTTACCAACCCATAATCAAAAATTTTAACCAAGAATTGATCCTGTCTGAAATAACTGCAGGAACAACAATGGAGATAAGACTGGAAGGAAAGGCTGTCCAGTGACCGCCTCAACTTGGGAAACATATCATGAGGGTGGGGCATGGAACCAAGGCCTGATACTCTTACTGATGCTATGATTTACTGACAGATAGGAGCCTAGCATGGCTGTCCTTTGAGAGGCCCTACCACAGCTGATTAAGACAGGTGAAAATACTTATAACCAACTAGTGGATTGAAGTTGGGGACCCCTATGGTTGAATTAGTGGAAAGGTTGGAAAAGCAAAGGGGAGGGAGACTCGATAGTAAGACCAGCATTATCAACTAACCAGGACTGCTGGGAGCTCCCAGAGACTGAACCACCAACCAGGGAGTATACATGGGCTGGTCTGAGGCCTCTAGCACACATGCAGCAGAGGACTGCTTGGTTTGATCTCATTTGGAGATGATGTGCCTAATCCTCCTGAGACTTAAGGCCCCAGGGAAGGGGGATGCTAAGTGGAAGAGAAGGGGAGCACCCTCTCAGAGGCAAGGGAGAGGAGGAATGGGATAAAGAACTGTGGGAGGGGAGCCAGGAAAATGGGAAATAATGACTAGAATGTAAATAAATAAAATAATTTAAAAAATAAGATTCTAATATCATAATGACATCAAAAAAGGAATATATTCCTTTATTTCCTAACATAAATATAGAAAATTCATGAAAGATGCAATGCTTCCTGCTTGCAAGTTTTAGTTGTATTGTCTTATTTTAGATTTCTAATTCCAGCCATTCAGCTTCCTTTTTTTAATAATTTTATTTCCAATTTTTTCTCCTCTCATTCCTTTATGTAAGTAGCAATTAGATCTGAAAAGACATTCATTTGGTAGAAAAATATCCTAGAAAAAAAAAGTGAAGTAATAGTGTTGATGTAGGAATCAATACATTTTCAACATAAGTACTTACTATCATTCCATCAATTCTACAACAACTGTCCCCGAAATGACATCATCATTACATGACTGCACATTATGATTATTCCTTTCTGTACCCCAAATTTCCATATTTTATTTCACATGTCTGGATGATTATTAAATTAAAAGTTCCATCTTTAAACGTATGTTCTACATATACTGTGAATATTAAAAATTATTTCAATAAGTTAACAATGTCAATTAAATTTTCAGGGTGCATAAAATTCACTGAGTGAACCCAAAGTAGGCATAAGTCACTGAATATTTCATGTAACACTTGCATATATGTTATTGATTTCAAGTAAATTATAATATAAGCTACTGAATTGCCACTGTAGCTTTGAATATTTTATCGGCACATTTTTAACTATAAATATATTCAGTAAAATTCATGATCATATAAAAAAGTATTCCATAAGAATCTATATGAACAATAACAAACATGAAGTGAAAAAAATCATTGTAAAGTTTCTTATATAAACGATAACTCTAGTTTGTTACCACTGTGTGTATGTAGCAATGAAAAAAATACCATAGATGGCACCAAAATATCCTTAGAATTTGTGACAGTGCTCGGTGAGCTACTAAATGGGAGAAAATGAAACTGAATAAATTAGACTGTTCTCCTAAACTCAGGTGATCCTGTAAAAATCTTAAGATTAGTTGAACAAGATGGAATAGCTTGAGCATTACCAAGCTCTGTCAGGCATGGGCACTATGGTGTTATCGCAGGCATTTGATGATGTGGTCCACCCAGCTGCAACCACCAAACAGAATTCTTAAGCCTGCTTCCTATCTCTGTTTTCAGTCACTGAACATTTTCTTAGAGTGTACTTCTGTTCAGCTGAGATATAGCAATCTGTTATCTTTTACACAGCACTTATAATATCTGTAAATAAAAGTGAAGGTAGCACAGAGACAACATTTCTCATGAAATGAGTATGAAGTTAGATGTTGCAGACACTTCCACATGTGCATACTTGTGGGCATTATTCTACATCATACGCTAGTTTTCATTTTTTTTCTTACCAGTCAGTTTCTTTAATCCAAGTTCTTGAAGTCCAAAGTTGCCATCTTTCCTGTAGTTTAAGAATATCGCTAAAGCATAGCGATCTTCATACAGCTTTGTCCCACGAATAATGCGTAAATTCTCCAGAGGCAGGTAACGAAACTGGTTGAGGGCCACCAGTACGTAGCCAGTGACTTCTCGGATAGACTGGGAAAACGCAAACAAATGTCTATCTTAGAGATAATGAAATTAACGATAAGTTGAAATATAGTCATTCAAATTAAAATGAGCTGACTCTAATTTTCAGCTCTTGATTTAATATACTAATTTTCTCATGATAGTCATTTTTATATTGGATTAACAGAGGACCACAAAGGGTTATAATTTAATTTGAATGTGTTGGATTTCTTTTTTAAAGTCGTGAATGTAGTTATACTAAAATAATAAACTTTATTTTATGAGACATCCCTCACACCTGAGATGTGAATACAGTTAAAGGAATCAAGGTGTCATTCACTGATAAGCTACAATGATGTGATATCACACCATCAATCTATTGAAAGATGAGAATGCAACTGATAAGTGTTCCAAAGTAGAACCATTCTGCGTTGGCTGTAGACTCTGATATCATACCTGGCCTATGGAAATCTAGAATCCATCAACCAGGCTTCCATTGTTTGAATTATTAACACCAAGTTCTTAAAGTAGGTAAAAATTGTATGGCCCAAAACGTAATAGTAATAAAGATGCACTTTAGCTGATATAGGACCATTATTAAATGTTCTAGGGCACAATAAGCACTATGCAGAATTTGGAGACTTTGCTGTGTGATCAATCTTTTATTTAGATTAGTTCACTGATTCTTCAAATCTCATTCAGGAGAGACTCTTTGCATCAATAACTGTACCCCGCTCCTTGTTCATTGCAGCAAAGGGAGTACAATAATAATCTTACTGTACTGTATATGAAGACTATAGATGAAGCAAACTCAGAATAAAACAAAAGTATTGATCAACAAGTAATGCTATGAATTATGTAGTATCTACAGAGAGAACTCTTTCAAGCTACTAGTTGACAAAGAACAATAAGACAACTAAAGTAGATCAATGATATAAAATTTGAAAAAGACAAACACAATGTATCACTATTCAAAATTGATATGATAATATACATAATGACCCAAAAAATTCTACCAGAGACTTCCTACAGCTGATAAATAGCTTCACCAAGGTGGCCTGATACAAAATTAATTAAAAGAAAAATATCAGTATTCCTCCTTTATACAAATGATAAACAAGTTGAGAAAGAAATTGGGAAAACAACACCCTTCACAATAGACAGGAATAATATAAAATGTATTGGTATAATTCTAACCAAGAAAGTGAAAGACCTGTATGACAAGAACTTCAAGTCTCTGAAGAAATAAATTGAAGATGATATCAGAAGTTGGAAATATTTCCATGCTCATGGATAGATAGGATTAATATAGGAAAAATGGCCATCTTACCGAAAGCAATCTACAGATTCAATGCAATTCCATTAAAATTTTAACATAATTCTTTATAGACCTTAAAAGAAAATTCTCAAATTCATAGGGAAAAACAAGAATATCTAAAACAATGCCATACAATAAAAGAACTTTTGTGGATATCACCATCTCTAATTTCAAGTTGTACTACTGAGCAATAGTAATAAAAACTGCATGGTATTTGCTTAGAAACAGACAGGTTGGTCAATGGAGTCCAATTGAAGACCCACCAAGAAGCTCACACACTTTTAGACACTTGATTTTTGATAAAGAGCCAAAACCATACAAGAGAAAAAGAAAACATCTTCAGTAAATGGTGCTATTCTAATTGGATGTCTGCACGTAGAAGAATGCAAATAAATACATATTTATCATCCTGTACAAAACTCAAGTTCAAGTAGATCAAAGACCTTGACATGCATTAAATCTAGTAAATGAGAAAGTGGAAAATAGCCTTGAATGTTGATATGAAAACAACTCCCTGAACAGAACACCAAGTGCTCAGGCACAAATATTAACAGTTAATAAATTGGACCTCATGAAACCGAGAAGATTTTATAAAGCAGAGGACACTATCATTAAGAGAAATGATCATCCTAAAGATTGGGAATCAACCTTCACTAACCTTACATCTAACAGAGTACAAATATCTAAAATATATAAAGAATTAAAGAAGTTAGTTGCCAACAAACCATGCATGGTATGTACTCACTAATAAGTGGATATTAGCCAAAAAAGTACCAAAATACCCAGGGTATAATCCATAGAACTCAAGGAGGTTAACAAGCTGAAGGGCCCAAGTGAGGATGCTTCAATCCCATTTGAGAGGGAGAAGAAAGCAATCACAGGGGTCAAAGGGAGAGAGAGAGTGACCTGGATGGGAGTGGGGAAAAGGTGAACATGATCAAGTGTTGGGAGGAGAGGAGTGAACCCTGAGTGGAAGTATAATGAATGGAAATATGCAACCTCTGGAGATGGGAGGTAGGTGGACCCTCTAGAATGTACCAGAGACCTGAGAGGTAGGAGACTCTCAGGACTCAAAGGGAGGGATCTTACATGAAATGGCCAACAATGCAGAGAGAGTACTAGTAGACTTTATCTCCAGTAGAAAGACAGGGCATCAAGTGGAGAGATAGAGTGACCATCCTACAATCAAAAACTTTGACCCAGAATGGTTCCTGTCTAAAAGAACTGCAGGAACAAAAGTGAAGAGACTGAGGGAAATGAGGTCCAATGATTGACCCAACTTGGGAATCTATCTCAAGCGGAGGCTCCAAGGCCTGACAGTATTACTGATGCTATGGTGTGCTTACAAAGAGGAGCCTAGCATGGCTGTCCTCTGAAAGGCCCAACAAGCAGTCGACTGAGACAGAAACAGGTATATACACCCAACCAATGGACTGAAGTTGGGGACCCCTGTGGTTGAATTAGAGAAAGAATGGAAGAAGTTGAGGAGGAGGGTGACCCCATACTAAGACCAGGAATCTCAACTAACCTGGACCCCCAAGATCTCTCAGACACTAAGCCAACAACCAGGCAGCATATAGGAGCTGATATGAGACTCTTGACACATATACAACAGAGGACAGCCTCAATGGACCTCAGTGAGAGAATCTGCACCTTACTCTCAAGAGTCTTGAGAGGCCCCAGGGGGTGAGGACATCCTTTTGGAGACAGGGATGAGGGTGGGAAATGGGATGAGGAACTGTGGGAGGCCAGACCTGTTGAAGGATAATGACCGAAGTGTAAACAAACAAACAAACAAAAAAGATTAAAGATACATATTTTTAAAAATATTGGGCTACTGAGCTAAACAGAAAAATCTCAACAGTGGAGTCTCAAATGACTAAGAACTTAAAGAAATATCCTTAGGTATCAGGGAAATGTAAATCAAAACAATGCTGAGATTCCATCTTACATCCATCAGTACGGCTAAAATTAAAAACTCAAGGAACAGCACATGCAGATGAGTATGTGGAACAAGGGGACTGCTTTTCCACTGCTAGTGGGAGTGCAAAGTTGTACAAGCGTATTGGAAATTAATCTGGCAGTTTCTTAGAAAATTGGGAATATTTCTGCCTGAAGATGCAGCAATACTACTCCTGGACATGTACACAAAAGATGCTCTATCGTACTATGAGGACACATGCTCCATTATATTCATAGCAGCTTTATTCATAATAGTCAGACACTAGAAACAACCAAGATGTCATTCAACTAAAGAATAAATAAGAAAAAGGTGGTTCATTCTCACAATGGAATATTATTCAGATATTAAACACAAGGACGTCATGAATTTTGGAGGCAAATGGATGGAACTAGAAAATATCATTCTGAATGAGGTAACACAGACCCCAAAGGACATGAATAACATGTACTGACTTATAAGTAGATATTAACCATAAAGTACAGGATAATCGCACTACAGTTCACAGACTCACAGAAACTAAACAAGAGGGAAGGCTCAAGCAAGGATGCTCAAATCTCATTTAGAAGTGTAATAAAATAATCATAGGAGTTAAATGGAGGAGGGAACTGGCTAGGATTGGGTATAGAGAGGAGAATGGGATGGGTTCGGGATCCTGTGTGGGAATAGACAGGATAAATGGCCAGGAGGGTAAATGGAGATCAGTTGCTGGTAAGGTTGTGGGGTAGGGGGGGCTTCTTTAGAACATGCCAGATACCTAGGATGGAGGAGGCTCTCAGGAGTCTATGGGAATGACGTTAGCTGAGACTCCTAGAACTGGAGATATGAAACCTGAAGAAGCCACCTCCTGTACTCAGGTAGTACCCCTAGTGGAGATATAAGGACACCAACCCACTCAAAAAACTTTGAACCAAATTTTGTCCTGTCTAAAATAAATGCAGGGACAAAGATGGAGCAAAGACTGAGGGACTGGCCAAACAATACCTGGCTCAACTTAGTACTCATCTCATGGGCAAGCACCAGTTCCTCACACTATTAATGAGACTCTGTTATGCTTACAGACAGGAGCCTAGTATAACTGTTCTCTGAGAGGCTCAAATCAGCAGGTGACTGAAACAAGTGCAGATTCCCTGAGCTAAGATACATATGCAGAATGCAAACAAAATCTCAGGCAAGGGGATTTCCTGATGCTTACAAAGTCTCAGTTCCATAATTTAAGCTAATATTGGCCTATGTGGACAATAGAGGTCACCATCAAAACGTTTAGATTAAGTTTTAGAGTATCTTATGTCTGTTCTTCCTTGGGCCAGTCCTTAGTCCATCAGAAAGAATCTCAGTAATGTAACATTTTTATTGTTCTACAGGTTTGTTGTGAAAATCACACACACACACGTACACACACACACACACACACACACACACACACACTACATATATATATATATATATATATATAATATTTTTATATATTAGCTAATATAAGAGGTACAAAAGAAAAGCATAACAGCACGAAATGTGAGCTGGACTAACAGGCAAATTTGCCTTTGTCCTTACTAGTTACATAAACGTGTTGAAGCTTTTAAGTCTTAAAAATATTCAGTCTTTTCATCTCTAGAAAATTTGTAAAACTATACCTATTAGAAAACTATTATACACATTGTAAGGTAGAGAAAAGGTGTAGAGCAAATTGTATTTAATGGATGTGAGCTATTATAAATATTACCTCAGAAAGTAGCCAGGCAGACAGATTGT